GACAGCTATGAAATGGGATTTTGTGATGTTATTTGTAAAAGAGATAAGATTTTCATTGGTAGATTATTTATACACTTTTATATGAAACATGCAACATGCATGTCACAGGTCGGCTCAATAGATCGGAAAGTGAGCAAACACATACCGTTGCTCGCTCAGAGAGACGTGACTGTCACGGCTCCCTGCAGGGATTTCCCCCCCCCCCCCCCCGTCCGATCCTCCAGCACTGACTGGCGGAACAGACGGGGGGAGGGGCGGGTACAGCTGGCTCTGCCTCTAGAAAGGCAGAGCCAGCTGTCACTCACGCAGCTGGGTGGCTCTCGACAGTGATATCCCGGCTGCTGCGTCTCAGTATACCGCAAGCTGTGGCTCGCGGTATACTGAGCTTTGGGTGATGGGAGGACGCTTGTTTGTGTCCACCTGTGACCCTGAGGAGAACTATGGGGAAAAGCCCTAACCCCATAGTTCTCCTTTTAAAATGTATTTTTAAATGCAGTGTAATTCCCTACATATTACTTAGTATACGCTGTTTGCATTCTGCCTGGAGTGAAGTTTAACTAATATGTAAAGATAGTTCATATAAAGTCTTATCAAATGCAGTCTTGTATTTTTTTTTTTTTTAATTAAAGTGTTACCTTGTTCAACACCCGCCATCCACTCAACTCAGGTTAATTTGTTGCTTAATTTCTTGAGACTGTCTACAGTTTTTAGGTCTTGCTTGGAACTTGCATATGATCATTGAAACAGCGTATTTGTGCATTGTAGTGTTTGGAATTTCAAGCATGTTTTCCATTTGCAGGCATACAAGGCATATTTTTGGATGGCTAAATAGGCATTCTGAATATTTACCTACTCAAGTATTTTTTTATTTTTTTTTATGGCCATCCTGTCCCCAAATTTTCACTGCACCCATATTTGTAAGCTCACTTTGTTTCTACTGCACTTAAGCAATATAGTTAGAGCAGAAGCAAACTAAAGGCTCATGCACACAGGCACAAATATAGGCATGTAGGCATAAAGTGTAAAATGCTCCTATGTTTGTGGCACCCGGGAGGCCCAGCTGCAGTGTTTTCCTGTCCATAGGATTGCATGGACAGAAAACATTGTACGTGTATGTATACATTTAAACGCAACTATCACGTTCACGAATGCAGATTTTTGCATTTGGAAACTTGTGTGTGTGTAAATGACGGTACCCGCATTTACATGCATATACCCACGTACAGTGTTTTCTGTCCATAAAATCCTATGGACAGAAGAACGCAGCAGTTGTGGCTTCTGGGCATTGCAAATACAGGCTGCATGTTTCTCATTACCCCACCTGCACTGCAATGTACACAACTGTCCTCCTAGGGCTGGCATTCCATTTCCCAAATTTTATTTTTTCCTGGTTGCAGCTTTATTGCTGAGCTGAGAAATGTTGAGCGTTAGGAAAAAGGAATTTGTAGTTATATGCTGAAACCTCAGCTATACTATGTGTTCATAAACCTTTTTAAACCAACGTCTAACCCTAATTTGCTCTAAAATATAAATGGTTACAACAGATTAACCTAGACCTAAAAATAGCTGTCCTGTGATATGGTATATGATCTGTTTGCTGCTACCAAGTTCATTTTGCAGCCAAGTCATGAAGTTGCTGTAGAACTTTGTGTTTCAGATCTGAATATGTACTGTAAGTAAATAGTACATTTATTTATTTTTTTGGTTTGTCAAATATTAATTCTAAATCCTTATGTTTTTGTTGGAAATAACTTTTTTTAGTTTGATCACTAAAGAATTTTCTGTTTATGGATACTGAAGATTAGACAGGGTCGTTGATATGACTTTGTTAGTCACAAATATAACAATGTAGATTTTCGTTTCTTGTTTTATTTGTGTTCTTATAGCAGACCTGAAGTTTCAGATGGGCATTGGTCCTTCACAGCTTCACTGCTGTAATGAAATACAGGACTTCTCAGCCTGGCCAAACAAACTGTAGCCCCTGAAGGGGCTTTACACTTTTTATGACCAGAGGACATTAATGCCTAGATGCCCAGACCAGATTGTCTGCCTGCATGGGTTGGTTACTTTAACAAGAACGCTAATTTGCACGCTTAAAGAATTTTAAGACTTTAGGGTTATTATGTGGTACTCTGTTTTCATATTAAATCTGCTCTTTAATTGTGGCCTGACCAATGTGCACAACATGTTAAACAATGTATGTATTTTTTAGCATTTTACTATTGTTTTTATTATTTTTAATATTGCAGCTGTATCTGACAGTTGCACTATTAAATAGATTACTTGGTAGGTGCAACGCTGCATCCTGAACATGGCAGTGACCATCAGAAGGACAATTTCTTGTGGTTTCTTTGTATCATAAAAACACATGGTGATTGTAGAACCGCTATTAGTGAAGACTGTGTTGTATTTATTTAATTGTTTCATTGTGACTACTGTACTCGTTATGTTCCCCTAAAGTACCCCTACATCAAAACCTTTGCAGCTTAGTCTAAATGATAGTCAGATATTAACGTATTCCACTTCAAACGCTTATAGCCAAAATGTGGATGGTCAAAAAGCAGTGCCAACCATCGGGATCATCCTGGGTCCAAAAGAAATGGAAAATGTAACAGATGTTTAAATAACTGTATCTAATCATTAATTATCGGGTATACCAATTCGGCAATGGTAGTAGCTGTCATCCTATAGGGTTCTGTAAGCTTCTTACAGTGTGTATTAGAAGCTGAAGCAAGGAGGATACAGCCCATCATTTCCTGGCTTGAGGATATCCAACATGATCTAGCCCTTTCCTGCCCAACTTGTCCCTGCCCCTCACATTTCAGTTCTTTAAATCAAGGGGGCTCAACATCACATGTAGGCATTATCTAAGGCGGTCTTTATGCAAATGCAGTCTCTCTAGGACCACGTATTCCTTCAAACTGCCACCCACCTATCAAGGCTTTTTTATATTTGCATATCTCCTCCCAAGAGCCAACCTGCTGCTTGCAGAGTACTCATGAGAAGAGTATTGAGGTAGCGTGTGGTGATTTTTTTCACCCCTACCACCAGCCATGATTTGCCTGCATTGCAAAGGGAAGCGCAGAGACAGAAAAGTGAAATGTAGAAATGTTATTAGTATACTGATGGGGGAGACAAAAGGCAATACAAGTAGATTAAACTTCAGCTTTAGGGCCCATTCACACCACATCCAGATCATACCAGATTGTTTCCGGACCCAAAATGCATCCTAATGTATCCCTATGCTATTTCTGGCCTCTGTTTACACCAGCGCAGTCTGTACCAGACCAGAAAAATACTGCATGTCTCATTTTGTCTGGTCTGGAATGCACTGCAACTGTGGGCAGGTTCACACTATTTTCCAGACCAGATCTGGTCCAGAAAATGGTGTGAACCAGCCCTAACCATATGCTTTGCTTAAATCCACCAGTTGCCCCTCTGTACATTGAGAGGAAATTTGCACAGCTGTAGGAGATTGATCAGTAATCAGCATTTCTAAAGGTGCCCATACACCTGACTATTATCGTATGATAATTGCGGGTGATCCCACGATCGTACGATAATCGGCAGGTGTATGGGCAGCGTGCGACCTCATCTACTGCACGGTCGCATGACTTTCGTCTTCCTAGCACGCTGTAAAAACCGCCGAAAATCGTACGATTTTCGGAGGGTTGGTAGCATGTTTGGAAGACGAAAGCCGCACAGGCCGGTGTGCGCAAGCTCACCATGCCCGCTCAGCATTGCAATCATCGGCAAGCCCTCCCCTCAGCGGGGAGGGCTTGCGATGATCGCAAGTACGATCTGCCTGTCCAAGATGGGCAGGTCGTACGAAATTCTAATGACCTTACAACCATCGCACAACGGAAGTCGTGCGATGGTTATAAGGTGTATGGCCAGCTTTACAATTACAAGCTTATTTGTTAAAATGGTTCATTAAAACATTATGTCCCAACTCTTTATCAATCTTTTGTCAACTGACTTCTATTTTTACCTTGCTTTGCGCATAAGTGATTTGAGGGATCGATTTTAGTTAGAGGTATGGCCTTACCACAGCAATAGCACTGCTTTAAAAAGTAGTGGCAATTTTCTAATGCACATGTGCTTTGGAAATGTGCTTGTCTGGCAGTCAGAAGAAGAGCTCATCCACATGACCTGCCAAACGCATGTGTCCAACCTCTCTTCGAATCATCTCTCATCACCGAAGCCTGCATTTTATGAATGGAGTGTAAAATTCAGGCCGCAGTGGAGTTAACTTTGCAAAGTATATTGGATGGCGATTTCAACCCTCTTGCAAATGCCACCCTTAGTGTTTGTCAGGGATCCTTCTGGCAGCAATCCAAGTAAATCTTACTGACCTGTTCATTATACGAATGAAAGAATCCTTATAATTAAATATAGATACTCGGTGCAAGAATCTGGTATTTATTATAGGGCAGAATAATTGTCTGTTAAAAAACAGAATACTTTTGTGTATAAAAACCTGGTATGTATTTATGTCAAGCTTGAAGTCTTACGTACACCTTTTAAGTAGATTATAAAACCTGGTATTGTGAGCACTCATTGTGCTGAATGTCTTAGTAATGATCCTTAGCATGGCTTCTATCATACTATCCATGTGAAAAATAAATTCACTGGTGTTCTAGTTCATAAATGGTAATAGTGAAAGCTGTTGAAGTCCAATCTTACGTCCCCACATTCCTTTCAGGAAAAAAAAACCCTTGCCAATGCTTAATTAGGGATTTTCATCACTTCCTTGGGACAGCTATTACAGCAGGAAACTTTCTCATAGTCTACTGCATTAGCAGACTTGCTTTTTTTTTTTTTTTTTTTTTCTCCTCCTAACGTCTTTCTTTGCTGGTGCCCAAATAGCGGTAGCTTTTAATTCAGTTTCAAAGAGTTTTCACTGCTGGATTATTAGAAGCAAGACTTTTCATTTTTATCTGTGAATGTTTAATCAGCAAACTGTGCTTGATTGCATTATTCTTGTCCTTTGATTTCAGCTTTATGACAAAATCAATACGAAGTCTTCGCCACAAATCAGGAATCCACCGAGTGATGCTGTACAGAGAGCCAAAGAGGTAATTACATTTTTTATTTCTTCTTACTGTTTATGCATGTGTTATTTCACCATTTGAATTTATATGCATTTAGGTGTTTCAAGATTGTTTTCTAAATACATTGAACTGACCAGATGTACTTGGATCAGACTATGCAAACTGTCACTTCAACACTTTCTCATGGTGTTAGATCATTCATAATCATTCCATTATTCAGCTGTAATCTGACATCAGCGTGCTAGGTGGCAAATCAGGGGGCACTTGTTGTTGTACAGAGGACCTTCATCACCAAGAACATTTACCCATTTAGTTTTAATCTAATTAAAGCAAGCTAGCAAAAAGAAAATACACCAAATAATGAAGTGCAAGCACTTTTAGAAAGTTAATCCAGTTATCATTAGCAGTGTAATTGGGCCATGCATGACTGACAATATTTTTATTTTATTATGTGAACAATGCGAGTGAGTGCATGTGAGGAGCAAAATTGACCACATTTTTGGTTGTAATGGTTGTAAACCATTGTGATTTGTAGCCATTTAAAAACATTTGGAAATGGTTACATGTCTTTATCACTTCAAAATTGAATTTTTTCTTTCTCTTCATAAAGAAACTAATTTTGTGAATTGCTTGTTCTCATAAAAGGTCAAAAAATACATGCTCTGCATGCATTTATAAAGTTATAAAATGTCTAAACTCGAGGTTTCTGTGCTAATTGGAGACAGAGTCTAGATACAATAATAAAATAAGGTAACACAGGTTAAGTGGGTGAAATAAAAGTCCCCTTTTATCATAAATTGTTCTACTTTTTGTCAGATATGTAGCTTGACTAGAGGGAATATGGACAAGAAAGAAATGTTAAGGAGATTGTCCACCTCTTAATAGTGTTAAAGAATTAAATGATTAAAGGCCAGAACATGTTTTATATTTATAGGCTGAATAGGTCCGGTTAAAATATTTTCTGTTTTGACAACCAAGAAAGATATAAGCATTTGCCCACTTATTTAGCATTCCTTAGTTTGGGCCTGGCTTTTGGAGCCATAGGTCAGAAGTCACCTCGGGTCTGCCATACCAAAAGCCTGACTTCAAACTAATAACACATGCAGTTTAACTGCTCCTAAGTGTGCATAAACGTATCAGAGACATGACTTTGAGAGAAATGTAAACCACTACAAAACTTTGGAGTGGTGAATTTGTCTTGCTCCACTCTGCACCGATTCCTGAAAAACCTCATGTCTACATGGGTGTCTAAGGCTGTACTCTGTGTAAATATAAAGGCCAATGGCCAAGGTAAGTCCCTTGTTGGCTTCTTGTCTCTCAGTGGCTCCAGCAAGTCCTCATTCGCATGTCCGTTTTGCGCCGTACACTGACAAGAGTAAGTGTAAATCTCCAGCGAGTTCCACATGTATTTGCAATCAGCCGCTCAGCCGGTACAAGTTAATGACGGGCTCCATGTCTCTTTTTGCACATGGAGCAATTACCTGCAGTAAGGGACAGATGAGCAGCCCTGGATGCAAAATATCTGCATCCAGGCTAATTCCAGTTCATTGAGAAAACATTGAAATCAGAAGATCAATATATTGGTCCAGGCCTGTAGCAGTTTTAACCAGTTGACATCCGCGGTGTTAAACCCCCTTCCCATCCAGGCCATTTTTCAGTATTCAGCGCTGCGGTACTTTGACTGACATTTATTCCGTATAACTATACCTGCCTTCATATTTCTCTCACAACATGTTCTCATGTAAGTGTCTGCACCCATAACTGCTTATTATTGTTGACATAAAATAAAATCCTGACATTGTTTGTGAAGTAGAAGGGTATGCTTTGTGCCTTACATCTTAAAGAGTATATGCACAGAAACTGATTTTATTTATTCATGGACTCCGTTTGGTTTCTTATGTCCCAGGACGTTTCAACAATTTGATCACATTACAAAGGCTCCTGGCTTTGCTATTCCCCCCATAGGGTCTAATTTCTTCGGTAACGCGAG